GAAGTACAACGTGAACAAAAACAAACTTTTATTACAATTAAAGAACGCAGTCAATATTTTTAGGAATAATTAAATTAATTTCAAAGTTTTGAGTAGAGAAAAAAATTTTTAATTGAAAAATTAATACGAAGAAGCAAATTTTCAATAAATTTTTCATCAGTCATTTATCACAATTTCAATTTCCGGTGATTTAATCATTTTAGAAAGACGTATTTTATGGATGATGATTTCTACGCCGAATTTTCCCCAACAGTGGAGTTTTTCTGGTTTGATCCATGACGATTATATAAATATTTATAAAATTAGTTTATATTTTTAGTCTTTTCTTTTATTGTTTTCTTCTCCCACCATTATCCATAGGTCATCGATGGAGACTTTAAAAGCTGACGACGACCCACTACCTTTTCATTTTTCACGGAAAGTCGACAAGTGAGCTATATATAGTCACGATAAACTACTTAATAGTACGCTTAGTATTTAAACGTTAATTATTATTTTAACAAATTTAATATTATAACAGTCTCCCGTAAAAATTAATTCCTTCTAAAAGGAATCAAAAAGAAAATTAATATTTATTTTTTAAAATTACAAGTTGTGAACCATGATGTTGTTTAATTATATTGTTCGAATCGTCATCAGCTTTGCCGTCGCTTACTTTACTATTGGAGAATCCGCGGCCATAAATTCAAAGGTAATTTATTTATAATAATAATTAATAATTTATTTTTTTTTTAAACAAATCTTTTATAATAATTTTATTAGAATTTATTTTTAAAGCGAAACTTTTTAAAGTGAAACTTTTATTACATCGTCTCAAACTTTTTCGTCTGTATGTTGCATGTCGCGTGACGGTCGGTAGTAGGGATAAAGTGAAAGGCGCTCGTCAGAGCAGCCAAAGCCAATATGGCGGCGCCCATAGCTCCCATAAGCTAACCGTGTAGCATTTATATTCAAATGCAATATAAGAATGATTATGTAATATGAGAACGATATCAAAAATGATTCTTCATGTACTGAACTTTCATAAGAGATAGAATTGGGAAAAATTTGAAATATTAATAGTTCAATACTTTAAAAACTTTTTAATTGTTTTGTTTAATCAGGGCTTATTTTTGTTACTATGAAATATTAGTTACATTTATAAACTACGAGACTCATGGCAAAAATAAAGTTATTGATAGAATAATTGAATTGGAAGGTAGATTTCGATATAATTAACAGTTTAAAAAATTATATCAAACAATAAATTATTAAATTATCAGTGAAAAATCACAATTAATTCTTCATGAAACCACCGTTAGTTCTATTACACGGGCTAATATAATCCGTCTACCAAAAACTGACAGAAATTGAAATTCTTATAATCTTAATAAAATCATCATTCGGTAAATGTTTGATGGAAGGCTAGGGTTTAGATCGATAAATAATACGCAAGTATTTATATTTAAAGAATACTTATTTATTAATAATTAGAGAGAAAAAGTAAGCGAGGTGCTTCGTACAAAAGTAATGAAAGATTAAAATTTTTCTTTTTTGGCTTATTGTCCAAAAATTATTTTACTTATTAATTAATTGATAAAATTTATTTTTTTATGTGTAATAACAGATCGCGGCAGTTAACGATGTAGAGCGTCAATTTTTTCCGATTGTCAAACGAAGCACAACATTGAGTTCAAGATCTTGTGGTAAAACGATGCCATGTGGGTGGTTAATTTATTATATGGCTGGAGATC